CGAGAGAGAGACAGAGAGAGAGACAGAGAGAGAGAAAGCAAGCTGCCAAGTTCAGAACTTGAACCAGGGTTGACCACATGGGAGTCTAGCGCCTTAACCAGCACGCCATCTGCTGGCCCAAAGCAAACATTTTAAAGATTATTTTTATTTATTTATTTATTTGACGAGGTTTTTGCTACAGATTGCTTTGCTACAGGGTGCGTGTGCTCGCCAGACAGGGAGAGACAGAGAGATAGAGAGAAATCACCCCCCGGGGGCAGGGGTGGCCACGCCGCAATCCCTTCTCCTCCATTCTCCTCTCAGGATCTTGGACACGCATGCACACGCAACCGGCATGAGTTTAAGCCACCGGGTCCGGGACTCGAACCGTGGTCGACTACATGGGAGTCCAGCAACAGCCATTACACCAACTGCTGTTCCCAAATTCTTTTGTTTTTGAAAATCTCTTACCTACTATTTCTTTTAAGTGTCACTCTATTTATCTAAATCTATGTAAATTTTATATAAATTAGGAAATATATTAATGCAAAACTCAAAACTATGGAGGAAAAGAATGAAAATATTTGCCTCTCCCATCTTCACCCTTCAGTTACTCCAGTCCTGATGGTGATCATTTACCATTTTCTAATATATCCTCCCCTATAAAAATTATAAATAAATATTAAAACACAGGGATAGGGGCTGGCAGGTGGCATAGTGGTTAAGGACACTGGACTCCCATGTGGCTGACCGCGGTTCAAGTCCCAGACCTGGCGGCTTGCGACTTGCTTTCTCACTTTTTTTCTCTTCTTGGAGAGGTTTTTGTTATAGGGTGTGTGCGCTCGCCAGAGAGAGACAGAGACAGAAAGCGAGAAATCACCCTCCAGGGGTATGGCCACACCACAATCCTCTCTCTTCCACTCTCCTCTCAGGATCTTGGACATGCACTCGCACATGCCCAGTGTGAGTTTAAGCCACTGGGTCTGGGACTCGAACCACAGTTGACTGCATGGGAGTCCATCGACATAGCCATTACGCTAACTGCTGGTCCCATTTTCTCACTTTCTCTCTCTCCCTCTCTCTTGCTTGCTCTGTTCCCCTCTGGTCAAATTAAAATAAATAAATAAAGTTAAATAAAATAATTTTTTAAATTAAAAATAAAACATACTATTAAAAAAAAAAACAGGGATACTTGAGCCAGCAGGATAGAAGAGGTTAAGGTGCTAGATCCCACATAGTCGATTCTGCAGTTCGAGTCCCTGGACCTAGCATCTTAAAATGTAGGCTGGGTCTGTGTGCATTCATGGCCCAGATCTTGAGAGCATAATGGAGGAGAAGGGATAATGCCATAGCCATCCCCCCAGGGAGTGATTTCTTCCTTTCCCCTCTCTTCTCTCAGGTTAGCTCACATGCCCTCTAGTGAAAGCTTAAAAAAAAATTTTTTTTTAATGAGAGTTCTTGGGCCAGCAGGTGGCATAGTAGTTAAGGCGCTAGACTCCCACGTGGCTGACTGTGTTTGAGTCTCAGACCTGGTGGCTTGAAACTTATACCAGGTGTGTATGTGTGCGTGCTCAAAATCCCAAGAGAATGGAGGAGAAGGGATTGCAGCATGTTCATTCCCCCTGGTGGGTGATTTCTCGCTGTCTCTGTTTCTCTCTAATGAGCGCAAGCACCCTATAGCAAAAATATGTCCCTAAAAAAATTAAAAAAAAAAAAAAAGCTTTAAAAAAAATGGAGTTCTCTTTGTGGGGAGATTTTTTTTTTCTGTTTTGTTTGTTCTTAAGGTTTTTGCCATAAGGTGCCTGAGCTCACCAGAGAGAAGGGAAGTAAGAAATCACCCCCATGGATATGCCATACTGCAATCCTTCTCCTCCATGCTCTGCCTGAGATTTTAGGCACAAGTGCACACGCACACGTACCTGGTTAAGATTTTCAAACTTCTGGGTCCAGGATTCGAACTGCCATTGTCCATGTTAGAATCCTGTGCCTTAGCCACCAAGCTACCTACTGACCTCAATCTCTACCTTTTTATTTTATATATATAATTTTTTAGATAATTATTTTATTTAACTTGATTATTTGTTTTAATTTGACCAGAGAAAGACAGAAAGAGATAGAAAGTGAGAAAGCAAGCTGCCAGGTCTGAGACTTGAACCACAGTTAGCCATATGGGAATCCTGTATCTTTAACCACCGCGCCGCCTCCTGGCCTCTATTTTATTTATATATTTAAGGTTTTTGCCATAGAGTTTTTAAAAAATTTGCCAGAGGGTTTTGTGTGCTTGTCAGAGAGAGAAAAAGTGAGAAATCATCTCCCAGGGGAGATGGCCACACTACCATCCCCTCTTCTTCATTCTGAGAATGTGGGCACACACTCACTGAGTATGATCTTCAAGTCACCGGGTTTGGGACTCAAGCTGTGGGCAGTCATGTGGAAGTCCCAGAACCTTAACCATCACATCATCATCATAGTCCCAATCTCTACCTTTTAATTGGAGTATCTACACTGTTTACATTTAAAATGATTATTGGGGGTCATCCCATGTCATGGTAGTTAAGATGGCTGTATCTCACAGGGCCAACTGTGCAGCTCGAGTGACTTGAAAAATACTCTGGGCACGTGTGGGTGTGTGCCCAAAATCCTGAGAGGAGAATGAAAGAGAAGGGATTGTGGCATGGCCATCCCCCCGGAGGGTGATTTTTCACTTTCCCTCTCTCTGACAAGCACAAAACACTCTGGCAAATTAAAAATAAATAAATATATAAATATTGACATGATTAAGTTTGGTGTTTTTTTGAAAGGTTTTTGCCTTAGGGTGCATGCACTAGCTGGGGAGAGAGGGAGATACATGGTAAGAGAGAAAGTGAGAAGTCACCCCCCAAGCGGGGGAATGGCCACACTGCATCCATTTTTCTCCTGGGATCTTGGGCATGCACACAGATACACAGCATGATTTCTGAATCACTGGGTCCAGGACTCAAACCACGGTTGGCCATGTGGGAGTCCATTGACATAAGTGCTATGCCATCCGCTGGCCCCGACATGATTAAGTTTTAATCATCTTCATATTTTTATTGGTCCCATTTGATTTTTTAAGTCTTTATTTATTTCGGGTATTTTTTTTTTTTGGAGAGGATTTTGCTATAGGGCACATGCGCTCTCCAGAAAGACAGAGAGAGACAGAAAGACAAAAGCGAGAAATCACCTCCCGGGGGGATGGCCACGCTGCAATCCCTTTTCCTCCATTCTCCTCTTGGGATCTTGGGCACACACGCACCTGGTATGAGTTTAAACCACCAGGTCCGGGACTTCAGCTGCAGTCGACTACATGGGAATCCAGCAACATAGCCATTATGCCAACTGCCGAGCCCACCTCTAGGCCCACTTTTAATAGCTGAGCTATAATAGTAAAAACTTGAAATTAGAATCTGTTTAAATGTCCTCACTTTCAAAAAGAAAAAGAGCTGTCATTAAATAAAGTAGCGAGGAGATAACAGAAATTTAAGCTTATAAACACAGATTGTGAAATTTAACTACAAGTGATATAACCTATGTATACATTTTTCTCTTCCACTTTTTTCAGTAGCTAAAATTGTTATTACAGAGCCTACAAAGGTTATAAAATATGTTTGATTTGTAATTTTGTAAATCTGTCAAGTGATACATTCTGTATGAGACTTTGAAATGATGCTCTGAGAATTTATTTACAGTCACTAAAAAGCAGGTGATTCTGTAAAACTTACAGGTAATTACAAACTCCTTAAACTCACAATATACATACATTTCAACATTTAAATAGAAGCTCATTTTCCTCAAAAGTAATTTTCTACTACTTTCTCATAAAAATATAAAAGACTTAACATTTACAGTTTAAAAAACCTATTTAACTCAAATCGAGATTTTTCTACAAATGATATCTCTTTCCAAAAAGTTTAAAAGACATCATAGAATAATGTGATGTAAATAATCTCACCATAAATAATATTTTACTTTTAAGAAACATTGTGCAGTATTTCCTTTTTACCCTTTCACACTAGATTTCAACTGTGCATATGCTAATGTAAACACACCAGATTAATCCTAGTCATTCTATTTATATAGTAGACTGTCATATTGAAACACACACCATATAAATTGTCACACTACCATTGAAAAATGACAAAAGGCAATCTTTATGAAAGCTTAAAAAATCTTTTTAATAAAAGGCAACCAACACTGTACTAATTCCCTATAAAAATTATTTCTTCCCCCTACCTCTTTCTTCCCTATGAATGGTACCTTTTAAAGCATGTTAATACAAAAGATATTTATAGCACTTTTGCGTAAGTTAGCCTTTTACATGGTTGCTTTCTTTCCTGATACACTGAATTTATCACAAGGCACCAAGATTAAACTCTGAAGTTGTTTCAGAAATGTCGTCCCTTTTTAAGTTCCTCTGGAATGATTTTCTTCAGCAAAGGGTAACCTTAAGGATTTAAGGAACCAGAAGAAAATGAATGATACAACACAGCAACTTCAAACTTGTAGCATTCAAAAGGTATAAATATATTAATAGGTTCCTTGAACTTATGACTTGGGACAAAAAGAGTAACTTTTAAACATAAACCTAAAAATAGTGCACATTTATTATCAATAGGAAAACATTTACTGTATAGTAACACTGTATTAAATCTTACATAATAACACACAGCCAAAAACATTAGAAATTAACTGCCAGATATTCTGATGCATTATCCTGAAAACATGTGTGATACATACCCTAACATAGAACAAAGTATGACATTTATTTCACGGAGAGAGATGTTTCATCACAAAAACAGATTTACTGTATTTCGGTTCTGATTAAGTTCTAGAGAGGTATTTAAAGATTAAAAAAGAGAAACAAGATTTACCTTAAAATAAAAAAGTCTTTATATATTGTATGTGTATATACATATATAATCCATTATTAATACTCTTTATGCTTTTACAATGTAAAACATTTACTTTTGAACTCTAGAAATGTTGACCAGTTTACCTACTTGGTGAACATATTCTAAATTTCCTTTAGAGCACTGCATTCATATTTTCAGTCTAGCAGTCCAGTTCAGGTGGAGCCATTCTACTTCTTTTTCTTCTTTTTTGGTGGTTCATCCTCAGAGCTGCTCTCTGTGCTGCTGCTGCTGCTGCTGGAAGAGCTGGAATCGGAGTCTGAATCAGAGGAGGAGGAAGAGCTTGTGGAGGAAGCTGAAGATGATGAACTAGAGGAGCTTTCGTCGGAGTCGCTGTCCTCTGAGGAGGATGAGGTAGACGATTCTTCACTCTCAGAAGAATCACTAGCGGAACTGTCACTGCTGTTGCTGCTGGAACTGGTTACGCTCTTAGACCTATTAGACGACGAACAGTTATACGGGAAGCCGACACTGAGGAGGATGGCTAAAAGCAATTCCACATGTACACTGAAGCTTTGCTAGCATATTATCCCCAGGTTTGATGCTTTGGGGACTCCTTAACTATTGTAAACCACACTACTTCTCTTTAGGAGGTCTTGTTTCTTTAGCAATTCAACTTTCCTTGGATGGAGTTCAAGATAAGCATATCTACTATATATACTTCAGAGTGAATAACGTTACAGTAAAGTTGCACTGTAACAACCGGGTCTATTTAAACTTCAAGTAGAGTGGAAACTTTCCTAATTGTTGTTTACTTCAGAGGAGATAAGGCTGGACCAACTTGAATGAAATGGACAGTCTCCTCTTGGGATTTTGGTCAGGCACAAATGAAGACTCGTGGATTTGAATGAAATGTACAAATGGCTATATTTCTTACCAGCCTAATAACATTTCCTATCCATATGATTATTGATTATTTCCAGGTTTAAGGATACTCGTAAGTTGAAGAGAAAGGAGAAATGGAGGCAATAAAATAGACAAGTAAGAAGAAGATCATATCAGAAAATTGAATGATAACTATATTATGAATTGCAAAAAAGAGACTTTAGATTCAAATCTTATAGCTGTTGGGCCAGGAGATGGCATGGTGGTTAAGGACACTGGACTCCTACGTGACCGACCACAGTTCGCTTTCTCATTTTCCCTCTCTCTTTCTGTCTTGCTCTTGCTCTGTCCCTCTCTGATCAAATTAAAAATGAGTAGACAAACAAATACATAAATGAATAAAATAATTCTTTAAAAATTTTTTAAAGAATTACTTATTTAATTTTATTTATTAATTCATTTATTTTTAATTTGACAGGGAGAGACATAGAGAAAGAGAGAGAAAGTTAGAAAGCAAACCACCAGGTCCGGGACTCAAACCATGGTCAGCCATGAGGGAGTGTCCAGTGCCTTAACCACCACACCACCTGCTGACCCTAAAAAAAATATCTTATAGCTGTTATTTTAAAATTACCCTCCCGTCCCTCCAACCAGTGTTATGTATTATCTATATAATACTCCCACAGCCACACATACCTTTTTTTCTTGGTCTTTCGTTCTACATTAGCTTCTCCAATGCTGATAAAAACAAGAGAGAAAAAAAAAGTCCTGTTAATCAAATGATTACACATAGCTCAGACAAACCCTTCTGCTATCCCCAAAACTGTTTTACATTGGAAAACTTTGTCTTTTGTAACATGTACTCAGAATGCAGTGTTTCTTATTATAACCAAAGGGAAAGTTTCCTATTATCAGATATATATGGTACATACAGTCAACCTAATCAGAACTTAAGGATATTTCATGACCTGAACCTTTGTAAATTAGTAGTTAAGCTAACTGAATTCACAAATTTGACTGTTTCTTTTTAAAATAATTATTTTATTTAACCTTTTACACAGAAAGTCGTGATATATTTTTCCTAATGACACAATACTTATTCAAGAGAACAAAGCAAACAACAGCATATCAATAGCTAAAATTTTTAATTTGGGTTTTTAGTATCATTATAAATGATTTCATATTAAAAAGACAAACAACCTGTTAATTAATTCATTGATTTTT